CGCGAGTCCATCGGTTATAAGGCAATAGTAACAAAGCGAAGTTAGGCTGTTATTCTCGGTGCGTCTTTTGTGTGTGGGGGTTCCTTCGGGCATGTTTTCTTACAGTGGTAGCACCTTCTCAGGGCAGTTGAGGTGCACTCATTACATTATTTTAGTAACCCACTGGACTTAAAAATGAAATACAAACATTGCTTAGGCTTTGCCTAACATGTGGTAGAATTTGATTTTCTTAATGATTTTCTCTTTTTTTTTTTTTGTCCCATGTTAACAATTTTCTGAAGTGAAGCAACAAATCAATTGACATGCTTTACAATCAGAAATCCACTCTCGAGAGTATCAAATGCATGTAAACAGAAGTCCCAGTTCGTGCACCGCTCTACAGGGGGCTCAAAAGCAGCGCCGAGAAAGCGGCTGAAATCTTATCCATCAGGCCAACCCAAGAGGCACCCTCCCGCGTTACGATGCCCAGGGGAGGAGAGGGCAGGCGACAGGTGGCTGCTGCAGTCCAGATGGGTCATCCGCATGGATGGGCTGGATTTGGGGGGAGGAAAACAGGGCAGTTCAAGTGGAGGGTTGCAGTAGCAGAAGATTTTGAAGACTGGGGAAGTGACGGATGTCCTTGGGTAGCTATTTTTCTCATCCCTGTTCTCCCGTCCCCCTGCATTGAAAGGAGCCCCTCCCCATTTTCCAGGATCCCCTCCTGTACCATGGAAGTTAGCATACGGCATTGTGAGGACGCAGAGCCCCTGATGATATTCCTACAGAGCAGAACTGAGGGGTGGGCTCAGATCAAGTGCCACTAAAGCCACAGAAAGTATGTATTGGGTGTATTTGGAGGCTCACGGGAACTAGCAAGAGCAAAAATGAAGATGGAAAAGAATTAGACAAGCCGGTTAAAGAATTTAAATGCATTGATGAAAAGAAAAGAAAGTCCACCTTAGCCAACCTACCTCTGATGGAAGTGGAACCAAGCAGAGGTGCAATCAGAGGCATCAGGAAGCAGCCCACGATGGGGGGGGGGGAGAGAGCGTGACCTTCGGGGGTTAGGTGAGGAAGGTAAGCAACCCCTCCTCGCCTTTTGCCTCAACGCCTAGAGGACATCCAGAGAGCATCTAGACCTCAGGAATTATTCTGTTGTTCTTGCTGGTCTCCTTTGGGCTGGCCGCGGTTAAACTTCCTTTTTTTCATGCATCCAGTTTGTCATTTAAGTCAAGATTCAGATAAAAGATCCTAAATACTCTGATTGCTGAAGATCCAGTCTGTCTGTCTGAGTTGATCTGGTTTGTGCCACTCAGGCCCCAGAATCTCCAGAAGGCTCTTTCTCGGACGGTATTAACAGGTCTTTTTTTTATTAAATGTGCAACTAGACACAAAATCTGCAGTTACAAGAGCATTTAGTCCCAAGAGTGTTTGTGCATTAATACAAAAGTTTGCTGGGCTAGCTCATAGAAAAGAACCCTTGATTTTGCTGATCAACAGTGGGAAATTAAAATAATGGCCAATCCCCTGTCCAGTATGTGCCGTTCTTTTCCAGCAGGAGGCAAAGGACAGAGGCCCACAGATCCACGGCTGAGCCCCCCCACCAGAGTCTTCCCCATTGTTTTGAAGATGGCGGGGGGGAGACTTTCTGCTTTGCTGCCCTCCAGCCCCCCCCACCCCCACCCCGACAGGCTCTCCCAGGGGAGCGAGCCATGGCTCAGTGCAAGGGCTGGGCCGGGAGGGCAGCTCAAGGATGCTCCTTCTTGGAAGCCACAGAACCGTGGAGGCTGATTCCCAAACTCAGACCGACCCAGCACCCATTTTCCTCCGTGATGGCCGCTCAGACGCCCCAGGGGCCCGTGTGCCCTTTTCCCATTTCACACTTGAGGATTTGCAGCTAGCAGGTGTGTCGCTTCTTGGATGAGAAGCAGGATGCTTTCAAAGGGGGGGGGGGGGAAACCCTCACGGAAATCCAGTTGCCCTTTGGAAAAAGCACTTTGGGGTCAGGATGGCAGCCACAACCTGGTGATTGAAGCCCCGCCCCTTTGTACCTGGAGCAGGAGCCTCAGTTGCACAGTTGTGACCGCCGTCTTGACTTTTGAATCCCTGGGCTGCACCAAAGGCCGCTTTCCCCCTTCCTTCAAAGCAAGACGGAGGGCAGCCATGCCCCCCCCTCCCGGCGCATACCTTGACGCCACACCCAGAAAACTGGACCTTCACCCCCGCCCTTGTAATCCGCAGGAACGCCCAGGCTAAACTATCCGTAAAGCACCCCAGCAGAGAGAGGGAGGGAGGGAGGGAGGGAGGGAGAGGGCCATAGAGTTCTTCTCCCTCTGGATTTAGTGCTCGGCTGCATGAGCTTCACCTTTGATTTAGCCAAGACTAGTCTGCCGACAGGGACTCAAGGGGCTCCTGAGGGACAGGAAAAGAGACCCTGAAAAGCTCCAGGATCAGCCCTTCCGAGACCGGAAGTTGTGGAAGGGGGTCTTTCGGCACCCCGCAGTGAAGCTGCAGGAGAAGTTGCCTCTTTTGAAGTTGCCTGTGTTTTGGGGTGACTTAATCTTATCCGGGGGCTAATCTGAGCGAGGGACCAGGCCAAAGCCTTTGGCTTGAGACCCTTTCCCAAGGTTGGAGGTTGACTTTGTTCCCCAGCCGAAGGGCCCCCTCGGTCAGTGCCGAAAGGGAGGTGGGGGCTGAAGGCCAAGGGGCCTCTGGGCATGAAATTGGCCACAACCCGTGTTGGCCTTCCCTTCGTGGAGCCTCCCCCGGGGGGGGGGGAGTCTGAGCTGCTGCTCTTCTCCAGAGAGCCAAAAGCTTTTGTGTCCCTCAGAGTCCGTGACAGACGAGACTCCTCGTCTTGGGGATTCTCTCTTGGGGACTCTGGAAATGTTTTTCTGAGGCCTCCTTAAAACTCACGTGCCCCCCCCTCCACAAAGGGGCTTTAAATTCACCCAGCAAGATTTATGGGCTCCACCGTAATGGGTACAAATGTCTATCAAGGGATCCTCAGGTCTACATCAAAGCGAAGAAGTTATTGCTAGAAGAGACCACAGCTCGCCACGTGCTGATGCTTCCATGAAGCCTTCAGGACAGCCCCTCTTATCTCAGGGGACAGCGGTGTTTATAGGTACCGTGTATATGGTAAATGAAATATATATATATATATTCATTTACCATCTTCATGCGGTTGGTGCCTGGTGGTAATGCTTCCTCAGGGGATAGAAATGTCAGCCCTCCCTTTTCCAATGGTTTATTTATGTAAGTTGTTTTAAAGTAAAATACATGCATTAGGCCAGTCGGAGGCATAATTCACCTGTTTCTCTATTCAGAGAGCAAACGAAACGTTAAATGAACATTTGGACTGCCATCCTCTCCCTCTGGCCTTCTGCACTGGCGGGGGGGGGGGGGGGGGGTTAGCAACAGCAATAGCACTTTAGACTTATAGGCTGCTTCACCATGGTTTCCAGCGCTCCCCAAATGGTTTACAGAGTCAGGCTCTTGCCCCCCCCCCCCAACAATCTAGCTCCTCATTTTACCCACCTCGGAAGGACAGGAGGCTGAATCAACCTGGAGTCTGGGAAGACCCGAACGGCCCAACTGCTGGCAGCTGGTGATCAGCAGAAGTAGCCTGCAGAACTGCACTCTAACCTCTGCACCACCAGGGCCCTAGTGATCCATGGTGGCAGATCACTAGAGATCTAGGGATCTCGTGCAAGTCACTCCCCTTCCTGCCCTTTGGCTACCCCTGTAGAAACTGGAGAGTTGGGGAGCTGAAGCAGCAACTCAGAACATAGAACATAGAATAACAGAGTTGGAAGGGACCTGGGAGGTCTTCTAGTCCACCCTCTGCTTGAGCAGGAGCTGCCCAGTCTCTGTTTGAAAGCCTCCAGTGATGGGGCACCCGGGGGGGGGGGGATGCTACTGGTTCTGCCTGGCTCTATAGAACTGGTAGCTCTGAAGAGCAGCAGACACCAAGCCGGTTCTGTGTTTGCTGGTGTTTGGCCCCCCCGCCCGCCCAGGGTCTTACCTGTCCTTTATTTCCTGCTTTTTCAACTTCAGCTACTTTGTATGGCAGAGCTGAGGTTGAAAAAGCAGGAAAAAAGAGGCTTTTCAAATGCTGTACACCCGCACGCTGCACTTTCCAGCTGTCCTAGTGGCACAGCTTAAGGCTTTTTACACGCACGTGAAGTGTGCAGTGCACACAAAACATAAGTCACCGAACCAGTGGTAACACCGGTTGAATCCTACCCCTGGAAGCACCCATTAACTTCTGGAGGCAAGTTGTTCCACTGGTTGATTGCTCTCACCATTCAGAAATTTCTCCTTATGGTGAGACATTAACTTACTTACTTCTTACTATTTACTTCTGTCCTAATGAAATTCAGTGGAGAGATCTTGGACTCAGGAATGAAAGGTTTATTATGAATACTGGTTGTTTTTTATTTTAAATTAACATTTCCCCCCTTTTAACATTTCCTAACTGTTTCTGGACAGGTTAGCCCCTTGCTTCCCTTGTCTTAATCTGTAGCCAATGAGCAAGTGGGCTTTCAGATCCCTGCATCCAGCACGAAGGGGGAAAAACCCCGGGTTGAGCCAGATTGCGTGGCCAGTAAGGCCTGCCTTATTTTAGGTAAAGGTCTGAGTGTGAATGCCCTACTGCCCGGTGTTGCCTGATGATTGTAGCTGGGCCACGGGGGCAAAGGAGCAAATTCCCAGGGCAGCTGTAATGCAGACCTTACGGATCCTGCCGGACAGTCCGTGGTCTAAGGGAAACGGCCCAAAGTGTCCTTGGCAGCTGGGGATCCTGGCCCTGCTTTGCAAGTATCTCCCACTCGACTGGAGCCACGGTTTCTGTCAGACTGGGGCTCCTCTATCTGAAATGGCCTCTGAACTGGGCCAGGTTGTGCTGCTGCTTCTGGCTCGTAGAGCTGAGACGAGTGCTACGGGTGGAGTCCGCTCTGGCTCTCTCCGGCTTGTGGTCCTTCGGTGGTTTTGTCTGTTCACCTTTTTCTCTCCCCCAGGTAGCCCTCTGTGCTCCTGCTGCGTCCCTGACCACATGGGCCTCTCCTTCCTCCCCACGTACGGCTGTCAGAGCAACCGCACGGCTAGTGTGGCAGCCCTGCGCATGAAGGCACGGGAGCACTCAGAAGCCCTCCTACAGTCAGCCAACCTTCTGGCCTCCGGCAGCCCTAGCCCGGCCCCTGGGGCGAAGTCGGCCTCCGAGAATGCCTTGGACAACAAGCCCCCCGTGACCATGGAGCACAAGGAGAGCGAGGAGAGCGTTTGAGAGCCCGCCTTCCACTCCACGGGGACCCCTCACGCCCTCCAGAACCAAACTGAAGTCCAACTCCTTGGGCTGTTCTGTACCTGGGAGAAGACTCAGTTGCTGCAAATTAGCAAGATGCAGGCGCTCACACTTGTTTTGGCCCTCTGCTTCCCTTCCCTCGGGTTTCCTTCTGCCATTAGCAACTCGGTTGAAAGAGGATTTCGATGAGGGGACCTTCCCTGTGGTGGAAAATGGAAGGACGCCTCCCAACGCCTCCTGTACACATAGCACCCCTTCCTTCGTTAAGAAAAACTGCATAAAAACCTGCTGGCATCTCAGATGGCAGAACCTGAGGCGATGAGACCATGCTAAGCCTGGTTCAGGAGGCCTGGAGGTGCTGATTGACCCGGGCACTTGGGCAGTGGTCACGTACCTGCTAATAGGCTCAGCCTTATTGTACCGATGATACTGAATTACTGTCTGTGCCCAGGAGGGAGGGACCGCACTGAGTCTGCATGAGAGGGATCAGAGATGCTTTCATTAGAACCACCAGGGCATCAGCGGTGGCATCTAGGAAGTGTCCGGCCAAGGAGCGTTTGGGTAATGACCCCAGCCCTTACATTTATAGTGTAATCTTTTTGAAAGGTTTCATGAGTAGAGGGGCCTTTTTTAAGTTTGCACATTTAGAAAAACAAACAGCTTAGGCCAGAATGTAAATTATATCTAATTTTGGATCATTGGCAGTACAATTCTGTAGATGTATTTCCAGAAATAAGTTTCACTGAATTCGGTGGAGTTTCCTTCCAGATAAACGTCTATAGGATTACAACCAAAAGTTGTTTTGCCAATGAATCAGTTCTCAGATCCCCTCTTTGATGAAGAGGGATTGCTTTGTTCCCTTTGTGTACTTCCCATGTCAGGAATCCCTTTTTCAATTCAGTCTGACTCTTGCTGCAGCAAACTGTAAATTTCACACTAACATCTCTAGACTTGCCTCCGGATCACATCGAGAGGCGTAAGAGAACATCCTCCTCCTTGTCTTCCAAGCAGGAGGAAGAAAAGCCACCGGAACGATCACTTCCAACCAAAGGTGGAAGTAATTATGATGGTAATTGATTAGACACTGTGGTGGTGCAGCAGTTTTTCCAGATCCAGTTCCTGCCTTGTCCTAATTCCTCTCTGGATGTCTTCTGAAACCAGTTGTGCTTACACACACACACACACACACACACACACACGCCCCTTCTTTGTAGGAATTGTCCATTAATGTGAAGGCTGCCTTCTCTTCTTCTGCCCTGGCAACCATCTGGTGGTGTCGCGCTCACTTTTATTACTACCTTTATTGTCAGAGTACAACATGTACAGAGTGCAACCCTTATGGTGGCTTCGCCTCTTAGCTCTCCATCGCAAGTACAGTTAGCACCCTTCTAATCCCCATGGCAGTTTACAAGAAGCAGAAGTGTGTCTTATTGGGGGCATCTTTCACATGTGGAATGAATTGTAGCCCTGAATAGATAAACCAGAGATGAAGAGACTCTATAAATAATGGAGATGTTTTACCAACTGACAGGATACCCGTATTCCTCAAATAGCTTGGTGACCCGAAGAGTGCCGAATATGTACCAACCCATGCACCAAATATGTACTGACCATGTGCATAGAGCATTTCTCTGGCCCAAAGGCAGAAGCGCCATTCTGACCTGTCTCCTTTAGAACGATGGCCAACAACCCTGCAGTGCTGTCTTTTTCCAGAGGATGGGGCCACCTATCTCCCCCCCTCCCCCATCCCCCAACTACAAAAGGGTTATTTGTTTCTCGGTGCACTTGATACAGGTGGACCTTTCTGTTCATCTCTTCGATTCCCCAAAGAGAAGAGGCAGAAAACACAGCTTCCCACCCGGTCCCTGCATTAGCCTGCATCCAGGCGTCCGGCTCCTCTTCACCTCCAGCCATCATGGTGCATTTATCTGAAGAGCAACGAGAGCAGCTCTTCCTGACAACGAAGCTGCGTGAACCGTCCGGGAAGAACAGGAACCCGGCCTCTTTCCACCATCATCCCATCACCACCGCGAGATGCTTGGTTTTTATCCTCTTTCTTTCCAAAAGTTCTGCCATCAAAAGGGTTTGCCAGATAGAAGCAATTTCACTTCCATTGCAACATAATTACTGATCACTCAGGTGAATTTGCCCATTACATATACTATCTCTTCATTCTAATGGTTTGATTAAACTCATTTTTCCACCAGAAAGGTACATAAATAAGTGAACTGTTGAGCAAATTAAGAACACTTAACAGCATTGCATCTGAAAAGTAGTTATGCTGATTAAATTTTCTGTCCTTGAGGATTTTCAGGAAATTACTTTTGATCGTCAATAACACAATTAAGTAAACTACACACACATTAGCATGAATAATTGATAAGAAATTATGTATTACCACGAAGCACTGATTTAATAATTCATGGTGCGACACTCTAGTGACTGTGCAAAACTGGAGGCCATCACAAAGTCTGCCTGGAGTAGCTGGAGAAGCTGCCTGGCAGATTCGCTGTATAATAATAGGAAATACTCCGCATGATGGATTTTCTGTTGCTTTAATAAAAAAAAGGACATTCTGGGGAAAAAAAGGACTCCAAAGACAATCCTCTATTATTTGTAAGTCTGTTTTTCTCTCCGTGTCTCCTTGGCCTGGATGATTTCATATAGGTAGGGGTGTGTGAGTGAGTGAGTGAGTGCGTGCGTGCATAGACACAGCTGTCTGCCACAGTCCTTCAGAGCTGCTCCAATGTAATATCCTAAAGACACCACTGACCGAGACCACGTAACTGATGGGCCTCGTGCAGAACTTGGCAGCGTGCCTGTGACGGAGAGGTTTTGCAAAGAGAGGAGAGACACTGAGGGCAAATGGATACAAGGCGTATTTGAGTTTCCGTGTTCTGACAAACTATTAATCTAAGAAGGCGAGTTGGAAAATCTTCCCTCTGCCTGAGTGGATTTCCTGCTTCAAATTGATTCCCCCAGTCTTGGGCTGTTTGCTATCATTGACACCAATTCTCCAAGATCCCCGTCAGTGATTTATTTTCCATCTTTCCTCTGTGGGATCCTAGAAACATTAACTGAAGAAATCTTGTCTGTGACCAAGCTAAGCCGTGTTTGTATGTTTGCATGTTTGTGGGGGTGTGACAATTACAAAAAACAGGAATCAGTTGAATTGCCATCAGGTTGGTCCTAGCTAAAAACGGTTGCCTTTCAGGTACTTTCGGGCAGAGATACCCAAACCTCTGCACCTGTACTGAAGGCCTAAGAACACACCCAATCGTCCCCAACAACCGTCTTCTGGCAAAAAGTCTGCCCTGCGACCGGCTTCAGCTTTCTGAAGAAGAAAGAGGACTAATTTATTAATATGAAGACGTGAGATTGTAGTACAGGAACCCTTTGGGTTCAAGGTTTCGGCTATCGCAATCCTCTTGGCTTGTCAGCATCAGACACGGGAATTTGACTTATTTAATGTGCAAATGATGCACTCAATTCTATTTATTTATTTCTTCTGATTTCATGATCTGAGTGTTCTCTCTCTCTCTCTCTCTTTTCATTAATAAATTAATAAGTCCAGGATTCAAAAAGTGTTTGAGTCGTATTATGACTGTACTCAGTCTGTGCCGGTGCTGGAATTAGATACAATCAATGCCTGAAGTCAGAAGCTCTCAGGACTTAAATGTTCAACCTGCAGCTGGATAATAGACCTGGTGGGCGGGGGAGCAAGCTTGCCAACGGGAGGGGCTTTTTCACCTCCACCCTGAAGATGGAGCAAGACCTTGAACTCGCAGCAAGAGAGCAAAGGCCTCACCCAGAGGGCTCCAGTCGGCAGCCTGTCATGCAACATGCAGTTTGACCCGGTGCTCCCAACAGGTACAGATGGGAATTCACAGATTTAATTGTTGGTTCCATACGCCTAACTTTCTTTTCTAATTAAGTTAGATTTGCTTTGTCATCTGAACCAGTTTCCCTGTTATTCCTTCTGCCTGTGAATTACTCCCACCAGAGATTTCCTCTCTTAAATGCGGCTGTAGCCCAAGGATCAATGGGGGTCCTGCCTGTAAGGCTGCAGATAAAGACAGCAGGCAGCAGCCCCCCCCCAGGCCCTCCGGCCCTCCGCTCTGCCCTCCAGAAGGGATGCCACACCAGGGCACAGTTCACATCAGCTTGGCTAACCGTGGTTTAAAGAGCAAATCACAATTGGCTGGAGTTAAACAACACGGTAAGCCATAACTTCCCTGTTTCAGAGATCCCACTAAATTGAGCAGATCAGATTTTGGGTTAATGCGCTGGGTAAATTTAGTTTATTATTTTATGTATAACATTAAATTATAATTTCAGATTATAATAAGGATTTATCAATGGCACTATCCAGGGATGGGATGCAAATATTTTCACTACTGGTTCTGTGGGCGTGGCTAGGTGGGAGTGGCCATGTGACTGGGTGGGTGTGGCTTTTTTTTGCAGGCACCCGCCCGCACTCCTTTTTTTTTTTTTTTGCCTCCTGGGCCTCGGGGAAGCTTCCTGGGTGAAGCAGTAGAACAGCAAGGGGGGATCCCGGCAGAGCTGATCACAGGAACAGCGGATGGTCGGGAGGGGAGGAAAACCTCCAGGAGTGACTGGGCAGGGGAGAATGCAGTCAGCAATGTCAGGCATGCGCGTGATGTTGCGCATGTGCAATAAGGACTGACTGGGCGGGAATGGGAGGGGCCAGCCAGGGCCACAATTTGCTGGATCTCCGAATTGCACAGAATCGTAACAACCGGTTGTATAGACCGGTCCGAACCGGTAGAATCCCACCCCTGGCACTATCGTATGTTCACCTTGCTGTGTTTCCCTGCCTTTAATTGGTTCTGCTACACACCTTGGTGAGTTGAGACATTCTTTAAGTCTCTAACATAACATAACCGGATGGAATATGGGGAAGGTACAGAATAGCACAGACGCTGGCTAACTTAGAACAGACTGACTTTTATTAAATAACTAAAACGGGTTTGAAACAGGTTGAAACTCAGTTACTAGACTACCCTGGACCTAAAGTTATTCCTAATCCTGATCGTTTCAAAAGGAGAAGATATTCCCAGATTTCGGAATGCATTTAAAACTGGAACATTTTTTCAAGATTTCAAATGTATATTGGCAATCATATAGCTTTATCTGAACTGCTTTTTAGCTAGGTTTGACAAAGGATATGCTAATTTACTAAAATTATTTTTAATAATTTTAAATGAAATGAAATTTAAAGGAAAGCCTGCCTTCCATAGAAGACCTATATATTTTATTGCACAGGTCAGAAGGAGGGCTGAGAAGAGATCTTACAGATCTTACCTTACAATCTGGACATAAATGGTTTCAACTCCTCCCCTCAGAATGGGCTATAGGGCACTGCATACCAAGACTGGTAGACAGAGGGGTAGGTTTTTCCCCTTAAGCCACCACTCTGCTGGTTTCTAGCCTTAATCTCTGCACCGGCTTGTCTTCACTCCGATAATGGGAGATAACGTGAAAGCATGCAAACGTGAGTAGATAAATAGGTACCACTTCAGTGGGAAGGTAACCGTGTTCCGCCGGCCTTTGGCATAGAGCTGATCACGTGACCATGGAAATGGTCTTTGGATAACACTTGTTCCCTCAATGAAAAAATGGAAATGAGCCCTGGAGCTGACACAATTGGACAGGGGAAACCTTTACCCCTACCCCTGGCTACTTCAGGAAGACCAACAAATTAAACGCAGTGATAGTGGTGGCAGCGGAGGTGGGAACGCCCCATCCTGCCTTATGGGGTCACCGTCTCCATCTTCTTCCGCCTCAGCCAGATGCAGCCTAAATATTACCTGCATCAGTTCTGCACCTTCAGTTTAAAGTCTATTTTGCCCTATTTCCGTAAATGATAAAACTCTTAAAAATAAAATATGCTTTAATAATATTTTTAAAAAGTAGTAGCCATATTGGGCCTGAGAAATAAAAATCCAAATTCCATGGAGGCAATACTTTTATTTGGCTTATTGAAGTGTATCAAATTTGCAAGCTTTTGAAATCCAAGAGTTTCTCACCAGGCAAGATTAGTGGAGAAAAAAGGCGGACGACTGAATGCAACACGGCTCCGTGTGTGAGAAGTCCCGGCTGATCTGTCTGCAGGCTCCCCGTTCTCCCATCGGAGGCTACGATGCCTTTTTGAGACCAGCTGTGCCCTTTTGCCCTGCCTCCCTCCTAAAACTCTGCATGGTGGTGACTGAAAACATGGCTTAAAATAAGACCCAGGTGCACACACGGAGCTCTCACAACTTAATGCTTTTTACAGGTAAGAGAGATTCAAAAGAATCATCTAGAGCTTTGCTTCGTGGGGGACCAACTGGATGTTCGTCTTTCAAACAATAGAAGGAAAACAGCAGCTTTTGTAGCGTTGATCCTCCCTTACTCCCAAGCTCTTGAACGACAGCATGCGGCTGATAAGATTCAAGCATATTTCAGTCCGAGAAACCACTTTGGAGAATGCTAACTATTTCAATTAGGCGTATAAGTAAACTGGCATAACATTTGAGGATATCTTGATTTCTCTACCTGAGGAATCTCCTACAGGAAATAAATGCTTGCATAGTTACAAACGGGACTTTCACTGTGACAGCCAACACCAGAAAAGCCGTTATTTGTTTCAACCCAGCATTTCTGTTGTTTGAAGGCAAAACATCCCAGAAATGTGGCCAGCGATTAACGGACGCTCTGAATCCTTATAATGTGGAGCTCAGTGTCGTGACCTGCCCCGCTCCGCCCACTCCCCACCCACCCACCCACCCAAAGGGACACTGCAGCCCAACTGCAGGAGGGGATTTCCTGATCCAGGTAAAGGAAGGAGAGCAAACGCAGGGATGGGGTAGAAGTTCGATGGGGACTTTCAGCCCTCCAGTCCTGTCTGCTATCTTACCTCCAACTTTGGGGGAAATTTAAGCTGGTTGACTATATAAAGAAGTTAAACAAGGACAGAGGGCGAGGAGGAGGAGGGAAGAGATCCATATTCTCCCGTCTTCTTTCCATCTGGCAGAAAACGAACGGGTCCTCAATCTTTAGAGGTTTGGGGAAGAAGGGGATTCTTTGGAGGAAAAAACTTAAGGTCCAGTTCACAAGACAGGGATATAAAATGGGCAGTTCTATAATTTTCCCATGCCCATATATGTATGTGAGTTTCCATGAAGTCTATATTAAAGTGACATAGTACAATTTGTGGGTTTTATTGGCATAAAGTCTATTTTAAGGTGATAGAATACAAGCTGTGAATTTCCTATCTTAAAACAGCCAGAAACCTCACAGCTGATTTTTGTCGATGGCCACCAGAAGGCTAGTGAGGGAACCATGGCTCCCTGTAGCCCCCCTCTGCTCCCCTTCCTTCATGTCCAGCTTCACCAGCAGAGGCTGACCAGCCGGGGTCCTCCTGGATGGCTGATCCCTGGCCACTCAAGAGTGAGGGCAACAGAAGGTAGCTAGATCCAGGCCTGGCCTGGCCTTTACCTTTTTTTTAGTAGTTTTGCAAATGTACACATTTTAAAAAAAACATGCTAGTTTTTCTTCACCACTGTGTTGCCAACATAACAAGCAATGGAAAACAGAAATGTGAAATGTGGACATATTTCACTTCAAATATATTAACCAAATATAATTCAATTACTCAGTTTCAAAACCTGATGTTATACTCCAGTTTCTCTTCAAATCATATAAAACCTGATGTCTGAACTCAGAATTATGTTTTTGATCATGAATAACTGAGTCGTGAGGTATGAATTCAGGTTGCTCCAACCCAACCCTCAGGCGGTCAAGTTGAAGTATTTCTGTGTTGTACATCAAATGTACAGAAAGGTCATTAATAGATTAGAATTGTTCAGAGTAAACAAAAAAGTGAATTCGCATTACTATGTTTTCTTATTCTACAGTTGATCTTAGCAAAAAGGCCGAGAAGTGATATTATTTTGTTATAATTGCTGTGCAAGTGGAAAACCTTTTGGGCTTTCAGGTATGCAGAGTAATTCTTCTAAAACAATAGCAAACCCCAAAGGCTCTCACAATAGGCCTTCGACCGCAAACTCTTCGGCCGAACCCGTCGAAGCGTTCTCCGTAGTAGCAGAGGCGCTCATATCCCTTTCAAAGTTTGAGGGGGACCCATCCACATTTGGCCTGTGAATATCAAGCAGAGCTGAGTCTGGGCAGGGCGGACCCTCAAAAGATCCCAGACAGGCGGCCCCTAGAGGCTTATCTGAAAGCGACCCCGGGGCCTTCGTGAACCTTTCAGAAAGCCGAGCGGAGGACGGGAGGGTCGGGACAGAAGCCACTCTGGGTGGGAGAGAGCTGGGAGCCCAGGCACAAGGGGAAAAGGACATCTCTGAAGAGGGTGTCTGAGACGAGTCCCTTTGGGAGGAAGGAACTGACACTTGGATATGTCTACCGCTTTCTGGGTCATAAAACATCTTTAACCGAAGAGGTAAGTCTACAATAAAGAACTCCCCTGAATCCGGATCCTGGAGCAGCTTCCGCTGAGTGGCCGGCAAAGAGGCCATGGGGCTTACGGAGAGCGGAGGTTGGTGCTTTATCAGGTCACATTTTGGGGCAGTCAAGGGAGAACCGGGGCAGACAAGAGACTGCAGAGATTGGACTGGGGTCAGGGATGGAGCATCTTCATTCTGGGCTAGAGTTTCATCCTGAAGCTTTTTCTGTTGCGCTTCCATCTTTTTCCTCCTACTTGCCAGCTTCTTTGCCCTCCGTAATGCCTTTTCCGTCTTGGGTGGCACCGTTGGGGGTTTGGCTGTTGTCCTTCCCATTTGACTTACCAGCTGGAGTCTTTCATTTGTCCCCAAAGGACTTTCAGCATCTCCAGGGAGCTGACTCGTTCGTTCTGGGTCAAGTTGGGGTGTTTTGGAAGGTTTGTCCAGACTTCCTATTGCTTTGTATAGTGGACAATCTGCTGCTTTTTCAGTCTGCGATATGTTGACATTTGCAGTTGTATCTGGCAATGGACCCATGGAAGCTGGTGGCACCACAGTATCTGACCTGGGACTTTGCAGGGCAGAACCTGCTGAGTCACTCAACAGAGATGGTGGATATCCAAAGGCATCCCTGGAAACAGGAGAAGAAGCGTGGTTCTCTGCTGCAATGGGGGACTTTCCCTCTGGACTTATTTTTTTAACGCAAGGGCCTCCTCTTGGTCTGGTGAAGACACGGTTCTTCCTATAATGTATCCTTTCTCTTATAGGGGACCTTTCCTCCCTTTCCAAGTCTAGATTTGGCTGAATGGCAGAACTGGACCTCAGCTGCCTAATTCTGACCTTCTCTTTGGAAATAGATAATTTCTCAGGGCTTTTTAATTCTTCCTCTGAAAACACTGATAAACAATCCATTTCCTCAGAATCTGCCACCCTAGGAAAATTATCCAATCCTTCACTAAAGCTGTGGTTTGCTGTTGGACGACTCTTGCTGGCCTCTTGAGAGCCCCTGCTCTCTTGGAGAGACCCCAACCCATCCTCCTCGGCATTCTTGGGGTTCTCCTGGGCGTTTGGAGTGGCTTCCTCACAGGACAAGGACCTGAGCAGAGGCAGCTTGATCGCCTTAGTCACGGGGGGCGACTTAAAGGTGTTGTCCTTTATGGTGAACAGAGTGGGCTTCAAGACACTCGATGGAGTCGGGGTCAGGGGCTCTCCTGGCTTGCTTCCAGCTTCACTGTCTGAGCTTTTCCAGCTGCCGTTTTCCTTCTCCTCTTGCGGGAGTTCCTCCTTTTCGTTCTTCTCCTTGCCGGTTTCATCCACAGCAGACTCACCGTTGCTAAGAAGGTGGTCGTGCAAATCTTTTTCCTTGGCTTTCTCTTTGCTGCTTTGCTCTTCTCTTCCATCCACATCATTTTTCCTTCTCTGGCTCTCCTGGAGACAGGCTTTCTGGAAAAGCTGCATTAGAGAACGGGGCGTCCCCTGAAATGGTTGCTCGGCCGTGGTAACAACAACAGATTGCTCAGTAGAACTGGCGCTTCTTTTGTCCTTGGGGTCATTTCCAGCTGAGGAGCAGGCCTGAGTTTCAGGGTTGCTTGTGTTTTCTTCAGCTGGATGAAATAGATTTTTAGAAGCTTCATCGGCATCTTGACCCAAAGTGACCTTTTTATATTTATGTTCCTGCACGTCCTCTTGGTGTACGGCTGCCACATCTGTCAGGTGAGGTTTGGATGAAGCAGCAGGTTGAGTTTTATTGTGTTCATGCACAGAAATCATCTCCACGTCCTCTGCATATACAGAATCACTTTGCTGCAAATGATTCTTATTTTGATACTTTAAAATACCTGCCCTCGACTTAGACAAGCTCAACAGTACTTCATCGCTGATAAAATTCTCATTCATACTGGTGAAATTGTCCTTTTCCTGAACGTAGCCCATTTGTTCAAATATATTAACTTTATCAGTACCGCCAAGTATTTTTTTATGGCTATCATCCAATACATTGGTTGCCATAACAGTTGCGTTCAGTTGGAGCTGCTCTTTCATCTTGTTTTTGTCTTCCAGGGCTCTCAGGAGAGGGGAGGGGCTGTAAGTGCTTTTCACACGTTTCCGGATGTCTTTCAAGTTAAATAGTAAACGTGGCGCTTTAGACTTGTAATCATTCTGAGAATAAAAGGCCCTCTCCTCGGGTTCTTTGGTTGCTCCAGCTTCCAGTATAAATGGAGTCACCACCAGTAGCCGGTTTCCCGATGGCCCTTCATTCTTAGGCTTCAGGGGTGGGACCGGAGTCAGGAGGGCTGACATGCTAAAGGAAGGATCAGACAAAATCACTCGTGACTCAGCCGCAGCTGTTTCGGCCAAAGGGGTGACCCCAGGTGCATCTTTTATTTCTAACACTTTGGCTGCTCTGACTTCTGCCAGTTTCATTCTACTAAGAGTAGTCTTTTGTTTCCTCCAGGGTGGTGGGCCGCCATTTCCTACCCTAAGTGCAAATTCTGGCTTGGTGGTTTTCTCTGCTAGTTCAGCAATGGGTGGCACCAGAATTCCCTGCGCATCTGTGCGGTGGAAGGTTGCTTCTGGAGGGAAAGAGAGCAGAGGGAAAGGTGATGGGGGGATTGGCGCCTTGGACACTGGAACGGAGGGGGACACTCTTGGTGGGAAAAGCATGCTAGATGTCGGGGAGGTTGGAGAAGGACTCTCGTACACAGGTGCAAGGACCTGGGGTAACAGCTGTTGGGCAACCGTAGTTTTTGCATCAGCCGGGGAAGGAAGATATACCTCTGCCAGGGGCACTGAAGAGAGGGAGGCTTTGGAGAGAGGCTTTGGCAAAGAGCCATCGGAGGAGCTTTCTTCTAGCACGAAGGCACCTATTGCTTTCGGCTCAGAAATGCAAGGCTTCACCTTAAAGAAAGGTGTTTCCTCGAAGTATCCGAGGCTGCCCTCTGTGAGCATCATCTCTCCCGTTTCAATTATTCTTCTATGGTGTGCATTCCATGACTCAAAAGCGCTGTTTTCACTGTGGAGAAAGCTACTTTTTCTGGCAACTTCTTTCGCTTTCCCACTTCTGGTTTTCACCATCTTGTTCGAGATGCTGAACTTGGGTGTATTTGAAACCTTTGCCTGAGAAGGCTGAGAGGCAGGAACGCTTCGACAGACCAGGTGATCCAATTTGCTATGTTCTTTGCGTTTGTCGCTTGGATTTGCTTTGCTTGGACACGGGTCGGGAAGTTCAGAGATCCCCTTTTGGAGGTTTAAGATTCTTTTGTCACCCCAAAAGGCCATATTGTCTCCACATATTAATGGACATTCGGTCAAACTATTGTTTGCTGGCTGCCTGGCTATCAGTAGGGAGACCTGATTGTCAACCTTATCAAAGGTCTTTATCAAAGAAGACACTTTTGAGATATGTGTACAGTTGTGCAGATTGGACAATGGCAAATCCAGCTTTCTTCTTATGCTTGGGTTGACTATAGAATACTTTTCATCCTCATGAGTTTTGGAGTTGTTAGAAGCTTTGGAAAGTAGGAATGTTGCATGCTCCGTTTTTGGGAGTTGCTTGTGGAAGTCGGTGTTTCTCTTGAGGGCATAATTCCAGGGGCCGTGAAAGAATTTGCTAGAGAACTGGTGGGAGGTGTTGGGTGGCCCTACAGGATCTGCATCGGTGTAAGGTGTTTGGAGCTCAGCCACGCACAGACTTTTGAAAGCTCGGTCAGTGAGGCTGCACACTTCTCTGTCGGTGTCGTCCAGCAGGCTTCCAATGCTGGAGGAGTCACTCTGTCCATCTGCTTGTTTCTTATTCCCCTGCATGGTCCATAGGAGTCATGAATGAAGTGCCTGGTTGACTTCGGGAGCTACTGTTTCTTGAGCATTTTTCACAACTTGGGGTTAACTTTTCTTCAGTAATCTGCAATTTTATATTCATTTCTCATAAGGAAGCACAGCCTGCAAATGGAACATACATAAGTTTACATTATTGTATTAGAACATAACTCAATTGCACGTAAACCTTTTCTGTTTAATTTCCCATTGATCCCCAATTTAATCTGATATTCTAGAATTACTAGGTATTAAAATATGTATATATTATGTATACATAAATAGTTTTGAACTAGAAGAACCCCACAAAACATAATTAAGAGAGAGATCAAGTTTTTTAAAATGGTGCTTAAACTTTCATAACTCTCCCCGCTCTCTTTCTCCAGTAATTCTTTTTTTTAAAGCCAATTTTGCTTTTCCCCTCTGAAAACCTGAGTTGTATTGTTATTAGTCTACTTAGTTTGGCCTTGTAGAATCTCTTTCTCACTTAGCTCAGCCAGAGGGAGAACCCAGCGTGGGTGCAGGGGCCCGGATGGCCAGGTTTCTATTTATAATTTTATGCTACGGATTCTGTAATAGGAACCATGTTGTGACTCAACAATGACGATGCCCTGTCTCCTTTGAATGTCTAATTGCCCCCTGGATGCTTGGCCTCTTTCTTTGGGAAAAGTTATTTGCTTCGTGATTGACATGCTCTCTGTATAATAAAAACCTCCGTTCATGTTTCTGTGAAGTTTTGCACCCAAATTTGGGGGGTTTTTTTGCACAAAGTGTTCCGTCTTTAATTGTGTATTCTGAATAAGGTGTGGTGGTAAGATAAAGTTGTTGGGACTTGCTAGGAATTGGGCTCTAATTTAGCAAGTCCTTCCAGTTGAATGAAAGCAAGATCTTGAGTGATTGCCTGGGGTACGTTTGACCCTGTACTTCCTGAAGGAGTGGACAGGACACTGAGGTTTGCTAGGTGCCACCTGCTTACCCTCCTGGCTGGTGAAGGCCAATCTACTGTTGGATCCAACTAGCAAGATCTTCTTTGCTAAGAGAAGTAGGTGATACCACCAGGCTCCTCAAAGGCCTTCACTGCACTTAATTTCATTTTAGTTTTTACAGTGTCACACAAACACATCCTTAAGTGGCTCTCAAAACTTGGCTCTTTCCCCCCCAGACATCGGCTGGAGTGCAGGTGTGAAATGACTGGTCTGTTGTTATTTTTCCAGAGGCTTGTTTATTTGTATTTTCTATCACATTGATTAAAAAGGAATCATGTGGGAGATGCAATGAGAATAACACTTCATGTTTTCTGCCAATGACCTAAAATTTTGGGAAAAGTTATTACATAAATGAATTTTCCTGAGATATCAGACTTAATATTTTTGACATCTACATTCTTTGGAACTACGTACCCACCCTGGATATGCTGCATGACAGGAAGGGGTTCTCGGGGGCCCTTCCTTTGGCCCTTCAACACAGGAAAAAGACAGCTATGGGCCCTTGCTCTTCCTCGGTGGATCGAAGACCTGATGTTGCTACTTTGACTTACAAATGAGTCGGTTCCACAGGTAGATTACATATAGATGATTACGGTTACTATAAATATGGTCATCCTTTATTGAAATTGTTATACCCAAATTATATTCATACATAAGAAGTCACTCCATGCATATATTTTTTTACCGCATTGTTTTCTTTCTCTGGCTTTCCTTTTTCTTTCCTTTTGTTATTCTCTTTCCTTTGTTCTGTTTTATAAAGGCAAAACAAATAAACAAACAAACAAAAAAAGCCACCAGGCAACATGGGATGCATTGCAAATCTCTATTATCTCCTTTAATATTTAATTTGGTGCTAGAACCCCTGGAGTGTTTAATAAGATGAACTGGCGATGCCCAGAAAAAGCCCAGCCCTGAACTGGAACACAAATTATGGACTCTGGGCACTTCTTCAAGGGATTATAAAAATATTATATTTGTTGAAATTTTATCATTATTACAGGAAATATGCCAGGTATTCAAAAATCAAACATTATGCGATTGGCAATAAGGTTCCTAAAGATGTGAATTTTGTGTTTGTTGCTTGTTCAAGATTTATTAAATAGTGATTATACCGTAATTTCTATGAATTATAATTTTAGAAGATGTATAATAATAATTTTATAATTTACCTGATGGTAAAGACTGCAACGATGACACCATTAAAGCCAACATCTTTAACACATTCTTCGGCTCAGTATTTGTAAACAGCAATGGATCATGCCCAGTATTTCCTAGCCGTACCACAGATAACAACAATGATCTAATACATATCGATTTTACAGAAGACAATGTTGAAAAAGCACTACGCAATCTAAAACCATCTCTATCTATTGGACCGGATGGAATATGTGCCTACTTCTTAAAAAAGCCATAGCCGAACCTCTAAGCATAATCTTTGAAAAATCTTTCAGAACCAGCTCCTTGCCTAACCTATGGTCACAAGCCACAGTCATCCCCATCTTCAAAAAGGGAGACCCAAGCCTAGTTGAAAATTACAGGCCAATCTCCTTATGCTGCGTCACCTGTAAAGTCATGGAATCAATTATTAACCAATCCATTATCCTCCACTTAGAGACAAACAACCTACTCTCCAATAAACAATTTGGTTTCAGAAAAAAACTATCCTGTAATCTGCAACTCTTACACTGCAAAAACATATGGACAACACAACTCGACCAGGGCAAAGCAATAGACGCAATCTACATAGACTTCTGTAAAGCCTTTGATTCAGTGGTACACGACAAACTACTCCTAAAAATAAAATCCTATGGTATCTCTGGACAACTGAATAACTGGATAGAAGCATTCCTGGCAAACAGACAACAAATGGTCAAAATTGGGAGCGTCCTATCAAATTCTGTACCTGTCAATAGTGGTGTCCCCCAAGGCAGTGTTCTAGGACCAACTCTCTTCATACTCTACATAAATGACCTCTGTGATCATATTAAGAGCATTTGCGTTCTTTTCGCTGATGATGTAAAGCTGTTCAATACCACAGACAATACTGCTACCCTACAAAAAGATCTTGACTATGTATCAGAATGGTCAAACAAATGGCAACTTCAAACCTCAACAAATAAATGCTCTGTCTTACATATTGGCAAAAAAAATCAGAAAATAAAATACAAGCTGAATAGTCAAGATCTTGTTGATGACCCAAGCTCTGTAAAGGACCTTGGAATACTCACCTCTAATGATCTAAGTGCTAGAGCCCACTGCAACTACATAGCCAAAAAGGCATTAAGAGTTGTTAACCTAATCCTACGTAGCTTTTTCTCTGGTAATATCACACTACTAACCAGAGCATACAAAACATTTGCTAGACCAATACTCGAATACAGTTCATCAGTCTGGAACCCACACTACGTATCTGATATTAGCACAATTGAGAAAGTCCAGAAATATTTCACAAGAAGAGTTCTCCACTCCTCTACTCGTTGTAGAATACCTTATGCCACCAGACTTGAAATTCTAGAACTAGAAAACCTTGAATTACGCCGTCTTCGGTCTGATTTAAGCATGGTATATAAAATCATACATTGCAATGTCCTACCTGTCAATGAATACTTCAGCTTCAACCATAACAACACAAGAGCACACAATAGATACAAACTCAAAGTTAACCGCACCAAACTTGATTGCAGGAAATACGACTTCAGCAATAGAGTGGTCAATGTCTGGAATACTCTACCCGACTCTGTAGTTTCTTCCCCAAACCCCAAAAACTTTAACCTTAGACTGTCTACTATTGACCTCACCCCTTTCCTAAGAGGTCTGTAGGGGGCGTGCATAAGTGCACCATCGTGCCTACCGTCCCTGTCCTATTGTTTCTCTTATTCTTCTTTTATTTTTCTTATATGTACCCATTTCATGTATTCACAACTATGTATACACTTATACTTATTATCTTGTAAACAATTGGCAAATCAAATAAATAAAAAATAAATAAAGATATAAACAATTTAAAATATATTGACTAGATGAAAGGAGTCATCGAGATAGGTGAAGGTGCACCTATGCTTGCAGGAAAGCAAATATTAAAATATATGTCTTTATTTTATACGGTTTTATTTGTTAGTTACATTTATAGGTCACCTATTTCACAAAAAGTGACTCTGAGTAACTTTAATAAAATGACAAATATCTATAAATCATTATAAAAATATTTTCAGAACGTTGTTGGCTTGGTTCTACTTAAATGTTTTTAGCTGCCTGGCAAATTAATGATTGTTTTGTAATGGAAAGAGGAAAAGCAAAGGCTAGCTTTGGTTTCAACTCCAATAAGGACAGAAATGCTGACTGGGGAATTCTGGGAGTTGAAGTCCACAAGTCTTCAGTTTGCCCTGGTTGGGGCACACACACACCCCTCCCCCTCCCCCCCCCCCCCCCCCCCGTCTAAGCAGCTACGGTCTTCAAGGGAAGGGCCTTTACAGGTGGTCAGTTCAGCCTGAGGGTGCCGAGAGAAACAAAGGTGAACACAAATGGCTCTTGTCACGTTTCAACCTTGTGTAGGTTCCCTTTGTGTGACACTTGTTTTTATTAGGAATAATCAATAATTGCTGATCTATTAATTTTTGCAATTTATCATTTCCGCCCACGTTCCACTCATTCTGATCCTCATCCTTCCCGTTAGTTTCATGTTCCCTCTTCCTATTGGACTAGTTTCCCATTTTTCAAAGTACTCATTTTTAAAAAAAAAATAATTTTTAGTATTTTATTTTTATTTAATTTCTCAATTGAAAGTTTACTTCACATTTGTGGCTAAGGGTGAAATAGATGTTGCATTATTAAGTCTATTTGCTAAAATTCCTAATTATGCCACAAATTGTTCCAGATCAATGCTTTGAACTTGAGCAACTTGAAGGTACGTGGACTTCAGCTCCCAGAATCCTTCAGTGACCATGGCTAAGGAATTCTGGGAGTTGCAGTCCACATATCCTGCGGCTGCCCAGAGTGAAAACCGCTGGTCCAGGAGCCTACCCTGACTTGATTCCTCTCCTCCTCCTCCCCCCACAACTTAGTGGTGCTTTTGTTTAGTTTCATACGTTGATGTACACCTACTAAAACTTCAGTACCTGCATTAAATCCTGATGTAATTTTGCTAATTCTAAACTAATAACTTATATTGTTTCTCCCTATATTCAAAATATTGTTGTTTTAAACAGAGATTGTTTGTTAATTGGTTTATTAAACCAATTAAATCAGTATTGTTCTTTATCTGTCATTAATTATACATATGTGCTTACTAACTGCTGTTCCTTTACTTATGTCATTCATTTTATCAATCTGTTTATACCTTATTTTTCCTGTCACAAGATTAGCACTGTAAGGAACCCACTGCCATTTTAAGACTTTTCAGTGGTTTTAATATTTCTTGCAATAATATAGCACATTTACAAGGATTGAATACGCTATTGAAATCATCTGTCATTCCCATTTCCTGGCTGTTTTTATTTCCTTAATCAGGTTAATTAAAAGTTGGTGATAGATCTGGTGCATAAAGCAATAGCATTGCTGTAACAAGAGAGTAATCTGTAATTGTTACTTATAAAACATTTTTATTGGATGCTGCAGAGAATGTTTCACAAGAAATGACTTTTCTTGCTACAGGAAATGGGGTGGGAATAGGAAGGCTTACATACAGTAGGCCCCCAGTTTCTGCGTTTTAGTCTGACTTTAAAAGGATTGCCAAGGTGACATTCTCGTTTATTGTCTCTGAGTTGTATCTCCTCTTAACTACAGAAGACAAAGTAGACTGGGAGAAAACAGAGAACTTTTGTGTAGGAGGGAGACTTAAAACTTGATTCTTCCAGCACCTTCACCCTTTAAGGAATCTGGTTAGGAATATACACGTATCCCTTAATGTATGGATTTAAAAGCATTTCAAAAATTATTTTTAAAAATAATAGCTCGCATTTCTGTTTATTCCAACTTTGAAGGTAGCTTACAACAATAAAAATGCAGCATATTTTAAAAAAACACCCCAAAATGAATGCAGTTAAATAAATCATCGCAATAATCAGCAATTAAAAGCTTGGCCTAAAAATACTGACGAATTCTGGATAAGTAGGAGTGAACCTTTCTCCACAGGGAGCCCACCCACTCCTGGAGTGGAGGGTGGGGTCGGACAAGGCGCGCTGAGCCCCTTGGTCTCTCCTGAGGACCTAAGCAGTTTGGAGGTTTTGTGGGGAGAGAGGCTTTCCCACACATGAGCAGCTCCTGAGCCCTTCAGACGAGGGCGGCTGGGTGCTGGGACCCAACGCCGGTCTTTGGCTGCAGCAGCCCTTCTGCCGCGGCTGCTCCTTGCTCCGCTCAGGGGCATTGGCACTTGCTGCCCCGCCTTGTGCTTGACCTCCCGCTGCAGGGCCCAGTTTACCTACAGGCAGAGGCGCAGGGGAGACCTTCGAACCCAGGGCCAGCAGGGGATCCAGGAAGACTCCCAAGTTCCAGAGTCTTCCTGGGCAAATGCAGCCTCACCCAGAACAAACTTCACCTCAGGCCCAAAGAGACCTCAGGCTTGCCTTGATTTAATTGGACTTGCTCTCCCTCAATCCTCTCTCCTTACTGAGACCGGGGCGGGGGGGGGGGGATATTTAAAGGCCTTGACGGTGCCCTTCGAGTTGGGCAGCAGGGAGCAGCAGAGCTCAGCCTCCTTGCCAAGCGTGCCCCCACCACGGCCTCGCGCTCCAAGCTCGGAACGATCTCCCTCCGCAGTCCCTGGCTGGGTTATGGAGCACAGGAGACACAGTGACCTGGACGCTGGAACAGTGGGCCTCTGGCACCACCTTCTGGGGAAGAGTCCCAGCAGGAAGGGCCAGGCCTCCTGCGGAAGAGGGATCCAGCCCGGAGAGGAGAGAGGAGAGGGCACCAAAATCGGCTGAGAAGGACCGTCTGTTTCCCCCTGGGAGTCGTCCACCAGACCATCACTCTATCCCCAACAACACCTTGTGTGGAATTGGCCCAGAGACACCCAGATGGAACAGGACCTAAGAGCTCACCCCTAAATTCTCAGTGAATTTACTCCAAAACACTTCATCATACTAGTTTTTAATTAGAAGGAACTTCCAATTTCATGCATAGCACATTTATGCGTGAAATATTGTATACGGTGGCCGCCCTTGAAAAAGGGTGTAATACAGCCGGGAAAGCTGAGCAGAGGCCGGAGAAAATGATCCCCCTCCCCACCAGGAAAGGAGGCCCCTTTAGCTTGGACCGACGGCACCTGGGTGGGGGGTGGGGGGTGACGGGGGGCTATAAAATCAGGCATGGCAAAGAGGAAGGAAGCAGGGAAGTAAAACCAGGGCCGGGAGCCTTTCCGGGGAGGCTGAACTGGGAGGAGAATCTGAACAGGCGGGGATGGGGGGGGGGGGGGGAGGGGGGGAGGGAAGCATTCTTTGGGGGGGGGGGGGTGTTTCTCTGGCTTTGTAGAAAGGGTCCTTCAAGATTTTCTGAGCAGTTTGTCTCTGCCTGCTTTGGGGCCGTGGCTGAAGGGGTCACTCTGACACCTATGAAGCCATGACTTTGGCCTCAAAACCCTCTGCAACCAAAGAATGTAATCTGGCACAGAACATATTACTAATCAGGACAGGCTTCATGAAAAGTCCTCTGCTCTTTTGTTGTGTGTCTGGGTGGTATTCCCGTCTAATTCCTAAGCTGGTTTTTGGCCAAGACCAAAGATGGTAATAGGAAAGTTTAATAGGGAAAACCGCTAAAATTAATTTCTATAACTGAAAATTAATCTTGCCCATCATGAATTGCTCAGTGCTTTTGCTTTGCCGTCTGTTTGAAAATGGCCCCTGCAGTGAAGGCTTCCTTCCTCGCTTGCCTGCCTAGGAGAAGGTCACAGGTCAACTTGGCCTATTGTTGGGAGAACCTGCCTCTCACCTGCAAAGTGAGAACTTACACCGGAATCGACTATATTTTTTTAAAGCCCTAGACAGAGAATCTTGGGCAGGGATGCAAATGGCCAGTGAGGGTTTGAACTGATCCGTTGGTACCAGGGAAAGGAGATGGATGGTGCAGAATTCCTTCCAGTATCGCACAATATAAATGACTAAGATGAATTCAGCTCCAAGATTGATATGCTCTCCCTAGTTTTATTCCTTTGCATTATAAGGAATAAGAGTGCATTCATTTATAGCCTCAAATGTAAATTAAATACAATTTCCTTTTTGGAAGGGGTCTCCTTCAAGATCCCTACTTCTTAAATTATTGGCCAGTTGTAAAAATGCTTTAATTTTCCCCCCTTTCAGTACCGTCACAATTTTAGATTCAGTCTTTCTTTATGGACAACTTTCAGATATATTTGAAGTTTGGGAAATACATGTGACTTTTTAGGCTACAGCATCATTTGCTAACATCTTTTGGTTTTAAGGATGTAAGCCTTAGGCAATGTTATATCTGTACCCAGGTCGTTCTTACCTGTTGTGTTAACAGACACTGTGGGAGTTTTGATCTTCTCATATTCTGATTGTGACTCATCAGTAAGGATGAGTGGAAATTGTTTGGAAAGCTTTTCCAAGCTACATATTTCATTATATTCTGTAGATCCTTTCAGTCTGCAAATGAATAAACAAAGAAAAGAAATAGATGAAGTTGTAGGAAATAAGGCTTGTTATTAAACATACATTCGTCGTTCTTCTCCTACCGCTTTGATTGCCAGGAATGCTCCCCTGAGCTTCCTTTTGGAAGACAGAGACACTCAAAGGATGCCAGTTTCACATAAAAGTCCCATCAACTCCCCGAAGCTGTTTTGCAAAGCAGCATGGCCGCCACAGGAAGCCAGAGAGGACGTAGCTGCGCCTCTTGCTCCGGCCTGCATTGGTCCCTCAGCCCCCGCAAGTGGCTGTGAACGCCAGAGCTTTCCACCCAGCCGCAGTGCTCCCTCCTTAGGGGCTCCGGCCCTGGCAGAGGCTGGGAAGGGCCACTAGAGCCATGGGGGGAGGTGTCGTCATGTTGGAGGTACGGATTGCTTAGTTGAGGACAGGACCCCGAGGGACACGAGGTCAGAGGCCTCCTGCACAGTAATGGCAACTCCTCCTCCTCTCATGGATCCATTCTTCTTTTAAAGGATCTCTCCCTTTAAAAAAAAAAAAGAGGAGGAGGAGGAGAAATAACAGAAAAGAGACCCAGAAGAGTTGTTCTCTGTGCTTTTAGGAGGTTTTTAATTTCCAGACTAGTAAAAGGTGAATTGGAACCCAGAGCGACTCCAGGAATGAGGAGCTCAGAAGGCTCATCGTCCCCCTGCAAAGGGGCTTGTCCCAGGCCCCAAACAGCAGCCCCCCCCCCCACCAGATAAGTCTCAGCCACGGCCAGCAGGCAGCTCAGAGGCACACGGATGACCCTCAACACCCATTGGCACCTTCTGCACAGGTCACGGAAAAGAGCCTCCAGGGGCTGCTGACCAGGAGTGGGGCTCCTTCAGTTTGGGGAAGGTTTGAGCGGGGTTGGGCGGAGAGCTTAGATGGGGGGACCGTGCTGGGCAGTCCTGGGCTGGGTTAGGCCAACCTGACCGTGGCTCCCTGGGAAAGCTGGATGTGCTCCGGCAGGCCCTGGGTCTCTTCCACAACCGGCAGGAGGCGGAGACACCCAGAGGCTTCTCCCACCGCAGCTACTCGATGTTGGGGGGGACGCTGTAGCCGTCCACCTCCGGGGTCAGAAAGGCGAAGGGTCCGGGTATCAACGCCCCGTCCTTCCTTAGGCAGCCCCCTTTCCCTGGCTGAGGGCTTTTCACCCAGGAAGCAGCCTCCTGCGGCTTCTCCTTCCTTCCACATCGCTCACTGATTGGTTGCGGTGAACTCTGCTTCTACCGAAACCATTGAAGAAACTTGTATGGCCGTATAAACAGCGAGGCGAAAGTTGCAGTCTGGCCTCTTGGCCCGTCTTCATCCTGCATTTTTGTTTCTGATGCATCTGAGATACTTCCATGTGGGGACCCATCCACAAGTCACCTTTCTTGATCATAGTTCATGCATGAAGCTAGTGAAGAAATCATTACTAGCAACGGCCGCTGTGGGAAAAGACCTCCTGAATTCAGGTGATGCTTTAGACCCCAGAACCTTTCGCTAAATCATCCACCAAAGCCGTCGGGCTCTTCTCAGGCTTCTGCACATCAAAAATGCCGGTCAAAGAAGAAGAAGAAGAAACCTGCCTGACAGTCTATCCAAGTGGGTCAGCCTTCTTTGCCTCTTGCTCACGTGGAAGTTGGAGGCAAATGACTGGAATGGAAACAAGAGAGCATCCTGGCTGGATTTACAATTCGGAGGATGAGAGATCGAGTTGAGGCCACTCTTCAGAAATTGGTTTGCCCCGGGGCTGTGGAAGAGGCTCCGGGATGGATCTTGTTTCTAAGCTGCATGAAATAAGACACGGTGTGTGACGGCCAACCATTTTAAAGCTTCGGAGGGCTTATAGTTAAGAATACACCAGAGGATTCGTAAAAGCCAGATTGTTTCACCCACCACGCTGGAGGAAAAGAAGCACAGATGCTCTCCGGAACAATTGCCCCAAAGTCCACCTGGCAGCTCTTTGGCCCATCACCTTCTCTGCCCACCCAAATCCCCTCAGCGGAGAGGCTGTTGTGGGGAAACGTTGAGGTCCCGAAGGACAGGCGGAATATAAGTCGAACAGAGAAATCAATACAATATTGGTAAACGGCCCCAAAAGAAACCTTGCCTCCTCGCTTGGGCCAATGTCCTTCTCAAAACTCTCTAGTTCTTCTTCTTATCTCTGAGTTGGCTTAAGGTTTCCTTCCTAGAAAGACTCACAGGACTGAAAAACATTCTGCAGGCGATTTGGAAAGGTGCCTCCACGAAGGTTTCTTTTTGGAGAACTGTGTGCCAAATCTTCATGGTTGTCCCTGCCGGGGAATTTCTCTTTAGATCCAGGCTGGGGGTCTCTTTCGTGAGCTTCCCCTCGTTGCTCCTTGTCCTGCCCTCTCAGGGGCTCCGGAGAAGAAGGTGACCCCCCCCCACACACACACCCTCTCTCTGCAGCACCTGCACCTGCTTTTACTTTAAAAGAAACTGTTTCTGTAACAGCCCCTCAAGTGTTGGGAAGCTGCTCTCATGCCCCCCCCCCCATTCTCCCCTTCGGTCGGCTAGACCTTCCCCCTTCCCTCCCCCGGCCGTTTTCCAGTTTAGCCCCCAGGCCCTTCATCCTCTTTGGGCTCTTCTCTGCCAGGGCCTCGGCCTCTTGTTGACCACTCAGGCATCTTGACCTCTCGAGGTTCATGGAACAGGCAAGCCCCGACCCCTCGGAACATTTCCCAAGAGATGTAGCCGGGAGGAAGACCACCCCCCTCTCACCCCCAGCCCTTTTTCTGCCTGCTCTCGGTTCCCCGGGGTAGACTTTCCACTCCAACCTAAGCGGCGGATTCACTTTAGGCACCTGCCAGCCAGTTTCATGGCCTGAATGTCCTCAGAGAACTGGTAGCCGGTGAGCTTGACCAGCTTGACCACCTTGCCCTGGAGCAAAGGCGGGTGGGAGCGTGGGAAAACTGGAAGCCCCAGGCTGGCACCAAAGTCTCAAAGGGGAGTTTGGCACAACAGAAACCAAACCACGAGGAAATTCTGGAATTCCACCCAACTCCCGAAGACCCGACCCCGAAGCCAAGCTGAAGCTCCTGTGGGGATGGGATGGGTGAAGTGGGCCTTTCCAGCCTGATCCATCCACGGCCAGAGAATCCGTTCTGGTCAGTTAAAAGACCCGGATGCAGACAATAATAGCCGGAAGTCATGGTTGCCGAGACCAGACCGAGTGTGACTCCGGGCCCCACCTCTGAAACCAGTCCCACCCGTTCAGGCGATGGAGCCAGTGCGTAGCCCAGCGCAGAGTAACCCCCCCAGACCTGCCCAGAGGTGGGGGGACTGACCCTCACCCAGGCCAGGGAAGCCTCCCACCCGCTTCCCGTCTCTCTGCTCCCGAAGGCACGGAGTCTATCCGGTCTCCTTCTGGGTTCCAAGCCTGGCCTTAACCAGATTTTCCTTTCTTGCCTTCAGGGGCAGAAATTATTTTCTCTGAGGTCAAGAAGTGAAACCATGGGCACCTGGTTCTTCCACACCCAGTCTAAGCACCGTGGCATTTCTGTTCTTCTAACACACTTTTGAATAAAAACGGGAAATGCTGACTGGCAGAAAAGGACAAATCTCATGCGTCGAAACAGGGGACTTGAAGGCCTCGTGCCGTGTTGGCTTCCTTCCCTCGTGAAGACATGAAATGTGGTTGGTGGAAGTGATGCTTCCAGTGTGCCATAGTTATTTTTCTTAGCCCCTGATATGCCCTCCATAGAGAGAAGAAAGTCAGCCTGCAGCACCTTGGCCAGGCTGCTGGCAACGGCATGGCTGGGAGAGGGCAATGTAGCTCTGCTGTGGGCCCAGCCCTCCTGAGAGGTGGGTGCTGCATTATGCAGACATCTTGGCAAGGGTGGCGGCTGGGTAAAAATAAATCTCCACTCCGCTTGACCCTTGAACTCTGAGCACTGTAACGCCTTTTAGGTAAACAGCCTAAAAACAAACTCGAGAGCTCCACCTTATGAACGGCCCAGGGCAGAGCGCAGGCTGGGGGAGGGGGGGTTACGTCTGCCCCCCTAGGCTGGACAGAGACCTGGTCTCGGAAGGTCCCAGCCTGGGACGAGCTCGGTTGGGAGCCGCCTGCCAGCAGCCCCAGGGAGGCCTCTCCCCCGCCGGGAAGGTGCTTAGCGAGAGGCAGGAAAAGCCGGACACTGCGCTGCGCTTGGCTGCACCCACAGCATTCCTGTCCAGCGGGGATGAAGGGGCCCCCTGTGATGAGAGAGTCCGCCATACCTGGCCCGCTCCGTTGACAGGGAGGGAAGGGGGGGCAACCCCCCCTAGAAGAATTTTAACACCCCCCCTCCTGGAGCAGCCTTCCGTTTCTTCGCACGGAGGAGGAGGGGGCGGTGATGGAGCCAGACTCCCCCTCTGCCCCTGACCCGAATGGTGAGGTTCTCTGCAGGTAGACTCCATCCCTGGAGCTGTGCGGAAGGACCCACTGAGCGGGTGGGTGGGTGGGTGGGTGGGAGAAAAGGAGAAGGGAGAAGAATTGACAATAGATCAAGAGGGAGAGGGAGAGAGTCAGAATAAATCAAGATGCAAAAAATACTAAAATATTAGAGTGGATTTCTTGTGGTTAATTGTAATGAATTAAACAAAAAGTTGAATGGATAATCTAGGCATTTGGGGAATGGTTGGCACGGTGCAATACTTTATAATGCTGACAGTCCTTGTTCAGCAACCACAGGATGGCAACATCTGGCAAAGCAGCCACTAAGTTGCTAAAAGAAACAGGGTGGTTTTTTTTAGATTGTACATATCAAGAGATCAATTAATGCCATTTATTATAGTCCTGCTATTATTTCAGTCCTGGCGTAGAAGCTATTTAAGTCTCACCAGGAGAATGAAAACAGCACAGCATAGAGAGAGGGCAGCCGAAAGCAGCAGAGGTCCCAGGGCAAGAGAAAGGAAGAAGCAGAGGTCCCAGGGCCAGGGAGGGGTGGCCTTGGTGGGCAGGGAGCAGAACGGGACAAACTCGGGCTGTAGGA